AAAAAAATCATTTGAAATAAAATTAATCTGAGCAACACTTTGGAAATTCATTCGAAATATTAAAGTAGAGAGTTCCTTATATAGATCGATATCTGTAAAACAAAACGGTGAATGAAATCTGGACGAAATCGGATTTCCAGATTTTTGATTTTGTTGTTGGAAATTTATAAAAAGAGAAATATCTTATTAGATGATTAGCTGATTGATCTGTCAGAATATATTCTAATTCATGAATCCGACTACGTGGAAAATAATACTGGATACCCAGAACGAGCAATCCGACAGTCGGATCTCGTCGGAACCTATCGGAAAAATTATCGAATTTTATCGGATCCGATGGCAATTCGTCGGAATCCTTGGTATCGGATTCCGACAGGAAGTTGTCGGATGTCGGAAGTGGCCGGGATCTTGTCGGAACTCTGAAAATCCGACACTTTCCGACATCCGACAACTTCCGACTAATTTCCATCGGATCCGATGGTGTGAGATCGGCCTGGGTATTCTGCATTCTTATATAATCCGACAAGTTCCGATACCAGTGATTGATCGGTTTTTTCATGGAATCCGGTGTCACTTGAAACCGCAAAATCCAGCGATTTCTTGACATCAGATTCCCCGGAATCCCATCGGAAGCGAACAGATCTTGAGATCGGATCTGACCAGTTCCGAATATATGAATCTAGTCGGAGCTCGATGAATCCGACCGGCGGATATTAAAGGAAAACAATGGATAGCATCGGAATCCGACAAAAAGTAACCGACCGAATCCGATTAGCCGTATCTCAACGGATTTGAAACCTTTCCGACAGAATCCGACATAGCTATTTCGACCTGGGCTTTTATTTTTAGGCTGAAAAGGTCCCGTTTTTCAAAACAATATCAACTGCTTAAATAGAGCAACGACGAAAGAAAGAAAAGAAACGATCATAAACATGATAGAATGGAACTGAAGAAAGAGAACATACAGAATGAGTCAAAAGTAACGAGATACGGACTTTTTTCTTTATACATTCATAATTCGATCTCATAGTTGGATCATATATATTAGATGATAATACTCAAAGAAAGAGTCTATTATCAGCTTCGGATAAAAGAATTCATTGAGAAACATCCAAATGTCTCGTAAGCAATCTTATAACTGTCACATCATTTTTTTATTTTCTTGAAGCATTGTGTTATTATCTTTTAGTTTGTTTGCATCAAAATGTACAAGATGATTTATATCCTATTGATCTTGACGTTGTTGTTTCAGACTTGTTGCGTATCCAACTACTCAAAAATGAGATATAATGAAAAAAAAAGAATTGACTTCAATTAAACTATTGTTGGTTTAAAAAAGTTTGTTTTTTTTTGATGATAAAGTATTACAATCATGTTTTTTTTCTATATATAGATAGGATTTATTGGTC